TTCCTGGGTGGTGTAAATGGTTAAGTGCTTGACTATTAGCCAAAAGGTTGGCTGTTCAGACTCACCCAGAGGGGCCTTGGAAGAAAGGCCTAGCAGCCTTGAAAACCCTCGGGAGCAGTTCAACTGTGTGCACATGGTGTTTCCGTGAGTGGGAATGAACTTGGCAGCAAACACAACTGGACTGTGATGTAGATAGGCTACATTCCCCTCTCCATGGCTCCTGGTAACTATATAGTGTTAAGAACACAGACTCTGGGCTATACTCAGTTTCCCTTGTGTCAGCTGGGAGACCTTGGGCAAGTGACTCTACTCTTCTGAGTCTCAATTTCTTTAGCTGTAAAATGAGATTAATATTGTGAGGATTAAATGAATTCATTATTATACATTAAGCTTTAGAGTAAGGGCTAGGCACATAAATAAAAAGTTAGTAAAGGTATTTTTATTATTATTAAAAGTTTCAAAGATAAAAAAATAAAACTGCCATCGAGTCAATTCTGATTCATAGTGACACGATAGCCCAGAGTAGAGCTGCCCAGTAGGATTTCCAAGGCTGTAAATCTTTGCAGAAGCAGACTGCCTCATCTTTCTCCTGTGGAGTAGCTGGTGGGCATTCAGTTAGCAGTCGAATGTTTTAACCATGGCACCACCAGAGCTCCTGTTTCAAAGATGGTAGATATTCATTTGGACAGATAATTCCTTAATCCTCTCCAACCATTTCTAATTTATGGTTGGATCTGTTAATCAAGAAGATATGGAAAGCTGGGTGCTATGGAGATGGGACTCAGGCTGGGACAAGTAATTTTGATACTGAAGAGAAGGAGAGCAGCTGTAGGCAGCTCTACTCTGGCCTGCCACCTGTTTTTGTAAATAAAGTTTTATTTCAACACAGTCACACCCATTTGTTTACCCATGACTTACGACTGCTTTCTACTACAAAGGCAAAGTTGAGTTGTTATGAAAGAGACTGTATGGTCTGCAAAGCCTGAAATATTTACTACTTAGACCTGAAACTAAAGTTTGCCAAGTCCTACTCTAAAAGCATAAAGTGTTTCCCGGAGGGGAAGGTCCTGAGCAGTCACAGGTCAATCGCCCGGTGAGCCCCCGGTACAGTACTGAGAGAGCATAGACTAGCTAGCCAAGAAGGTGGACTTCGCTTTGCCAGCCTTGTTACTTGGCCTTAGGTGTTCTTGGTTATATTTAACAAGGCACCAGGCGTATTTTAAGTCCTGTATGAATGATCCCCGTTTAATTCTCTTTGCAACCCAATGACATGGGTACATTATTTCATTTTGTAGGTGAGTGTATTGAGGTGTGGAGAGATAAAGTGATCTGCCCAAGGTCCTATGGCCAGTAAGTAGTGTCCATACTTTATCCACTGGGCCGCACTGTCTCCTCTTCCACAGGAAGTAAGCTTTGTCCCTACCTTGTTGCTGAAGGGACCGTGTGGCAGTGTATCATTTCTTGTCCCACAGCCTGGTCAGTAGTTGTTTATCTGTCTGTTAGTATGTGCCAGACACTGGTGTCTAAAGATGATAATAGCTTTGGGCAAGTTATTTTAATCCTCAAAACCCAGTTTCTTCATCCTCAACATGAGAGTGCTGATCTACTTACTCCACAGCATTGTTATAAGATCAATAGAGGTAATGTGGATAATATAATTGGAACAGTGCTTGGCACAGAGGAGTCCTCCAGAACTAGTTGCTGATATCATTTTAATGATAAGGAAGAAGATGATGGGGCTATTGGTGGTGGGGACTCCAGGACTCCTTCACACTGCTGCCAGACACCAAGGAGTTGTCCTAAGAGTCCTTAAGCCTTTTGGGCTATGCTGTTTTTATCTCTAATTCTAATGAGTTGAATAACTGAATCTCAGCAGAAAAATCAAGATTACACAGGGTAGTGTTCACTTACCTTTGCTAAAGGTGATACCAGTGTTTTCACAACTGAGAAACCACATGGGGTTCTGGTGAGATTATATAGGAGATGATGGACTGTACAGATAAGGTATAGTCACCCTCTCTACTTTCAGGACTGACCAGCAGCCACTCAGTCCTTTTGAGTGCTGCTTTCATTCACCTTCCTCTTCTTCTCCTAGGCAACAACGTGGGAACAGTGGAGAGGGAGCTGCACCATTTTGGTCAGGATGAAGACGTTTATCACACAGTGGATGACAACGACACCTTTCCTGTGGACGTGGCCAGCAGGCCCCCTGCTCCAGTGCCCAGGCCAGAGGCCAGTCCTCCTGGTGCACGCCAGCTGCCTGACAATGACCCATACATTTCAAAAGGCAAGGGTGGCAGGGGCTGAGGCCCAGGGGGATCTTCAGAGCTTTTCAGCAAGAATTCCCTGCATCCTTTAGCATTATAAGCCACTGCTCAGAGACGGAGTGGTCCTGGATGGTCTCTAATCAGCCCCAGGAGACATGGCTCGTGGAAGATTCTGGAGCTAGACTAGGTCAATGATCAGATTTAGTTCTGGCCTTTCCAGAGGCATTCACACACAGTTGCAAAGGCAGAAGTAAATGAGATTTCCCCCTACCCTCAATAGCCAAACCAGGATTTGAATCTACCGGCTCTCATTCAGAGCCCAGAGAATCTTCATCACTATGTCGCTCTACCACTAAGTGAACGTAAACATTTGTCACCCACGAGTGACTGCATCTAAGTCCCTTTGGAGTTGTGCATATATTTTACCTGTTCCATAGCTTACAGTTGTGTCTTAGGATACTTTTTGATATGTTAAGTGACTCTTCCTTTTATTCTTAAGCTTCAAGGTGTTCCCTGGCTAGGCTCAGGTGTTCACAGATTCCAGGCATGTTTCCTTGTTCATGTTACACTTTCCTTTAATGATCTCATAAACGGCAATTGTGTCCTCTGCTGGCCTTGACTTTCTAGGCTTGAGAGCTCTGTTGGATATCTCTTAATTTGACAATCCTTACTCTTTCTTCTCATTACTTACCTTTCTAAAGTTTTAATTTGCAGAACTGCACACAGTGGTCTGAACTATGAGTTTATTATTAATTTTCATACAGTGTCTTCATATTATTTCTCTTATAAGTGTACAAATATATATAAAGTCCTTTTATTTTTTTTGTCTGACTTTTTCTTTATTATGATGTTTTATTTTTGCAGTGTTCCCTCCCCTCCCATTCCACCCCTGGTAACCAACAAAGGAAATTTCCTTCCATACATAAACCTTTCATAAAGTCCTTTTAGAGAGAATTCTGACTTGGCTTTAACTCAAAATATTCTTTATCTCATAGTTTTTGCAGAAAAAAGTCAAGAACGGCCTGGGAATTTCTACATTTCCTCAGAGAGCATCAGGAAAGGTAAGTTAAATGTTCCCAGTTCATTTTGTATGATCCCATCTTCTGGGTGGTAGAAGTGTTCATGTGTCAGAGATTTCCAAGTGTAACAATAACACCTTGGCATTGAAGGTATATTCCATAGATACTTATGGTAGTATTCTCTGAGAATGCTGAAACTCCATTTATCCTGATGGTAAAGGGTGAGAGGAAGGGGTTGAGATACCATAGCATAGTTGCAAATGATTAACATGCTTGGCTGCTAACCAAAAGGTTGAAAGTTTGAGTCTTCCTGAGGCACCTTGGAAGACAGGCCTGGTGATCTACTGTGGAATCCCTCTGGAGCCCAGTTGTACTTTGACACATGTGGGTTGCCATGAGTCACAGTTGACTCGATCACAACTGCATATGTGGGAACAGTGGTTGTTCAGTGGTAGAATTCTCATCTTCTGTGTGGGAAACCAGAGTTCGATTCCCAGCCAATGAAACTCGTGTACAGCCACCACCCATCTGTCAGTGGAGAGGTATGTTGCTATGATGCTGGACAGTTTCTAGCACAGCTTCCAGACAAGACAGACTGGGAAGAAAGGCCTGGTGATCTGTTTCTGAATATTAGCCAATGAAAACCCTGTGGATTGTGATGGTCCAATCTGCAACTGATCATGGGATAGTGTAGGACCTGGCAGCGTTTCATTCCATTATTTATGGGGTTACCACGGGTTGGAGGCCCACTTGAGGGCAGCTAACAATAGCAGCAGAATATTGTACAAGTTGATCATACAAAGAACTTGTAATACTAGAAAGTGTCTGTACAGCACACAAGGTACAGTGTAAACACTGAGATGATATCAACAGGATGGAAGTGGGCGGCCCAGGAAGCATTCTTTACCTAATGATACAGCCGTACCTGCTGTTTACTCAACGTATCTAGACTGGCTGAACTGTGCTTTAACTCAACTTTTATTTGAGAAACATTTAGCTTGCCATTGGGGAATACTCTGGACATCCCATTTTTCCCTTTTTTTCAAAAGGAAGTTTGAGGCAATAGTGCCCTTTTCTTTTCTTGATTAATTTCCTTGTGCTAAACAGAGGCATTCAGTATTATCCCATTGATGATTCTTTTGAAAAGTAGCCATGACATCATCTAAGCATTTGAAGGCATCCCACTTTGGTAGTGAAAGATTGGGAACTGGTTGGCTTGTGCATTTTCTTTATTTCCCCCACCCCATCTCCCAATATTATTAAAGACTGCCTTGAAAAGGGCAAACCTGGGAAAAGGGTGTGTGTGTGTAGATGAGTGAGAAAATGGTTGGGCAGAATGGCAGATAGACTTCTTTGAGGCTGTTTCAATATGCAGTGGTGAAACAATCTCTCTCTCTCTCTCTCCTTCCTGCTATCTCCCTGAATAAAATGCCCAAATGAGGCGCTACTGGTAAAATTTAGAATCAAAGATCATCCTGTATGAAATGAGCAATAAAATGCCAGGCCAGGTTGCCCTCACACGCCCCAATGGCCCCATCACCTCTGCGTGTAGCTCATTTCCCATGAAGCTTAGTAAAGTTGAGTCTCATCCTGGAGAGAGAGGGGATTCAGATTTCCCTGGTGTCTCCAAAGCAGTGAACTATTAATCTGGAATGTGGAAGAGAGATTGGCACTGGAACAACCCAAGGGGAATCAGTTGAGGCTCAACATCTAGTTTATACCTGTTGGTAGTGGACCTGAGTCATGATTGAGTTGGCATTCCAGTCTCTGCTCACATGGCATACCCATCAGTTCATAATCATTGCACCCTGTGCTGTTCAGAAGCAATGAGGACAGTGAGGGCTGGGAGTTGGGAAAAGAATTCTGGCTAAGTTATGCCACTCTGTCTAAAGCAGTGGTTCCCACCTGGGAGTGATTTTGTCCCTCAGTGGACATTTGGCAATGTCTGGAGACACAACTGGGGAGAGGCCAGCAATGCAGTAAACATCCTGTAATGTATAGGACAGACCCTGAAACAAAGAATTATCTGGCCCAAAATGTCAACAGTGCCAATACTAAGAAATGCTGGTCTAAATGCTACTCAGTAATTAAAGCTTGGGGGATTCTGTAGACTCATCTGGTGGGTTTTATACCTCCCTAAAATGTTGTGGCCTCATCTTTAGTGTGATGTTGTTGTTGTTATTGGGTGCTATTGAGTTCATTCTGACTCATAGTGACCCCATGCGACAGAGTAGAACTGCCCACTGAGTTTTCTTGGCTGTAACCTTCATGGAAAGGAGCCTTCCTGGTGCATAGTGAAGCACCCAGCTGCTAACTGAAGGGTTGGTGGTTTTGAATCCACCCAGGAGCTGCACAGCAGAAGAGACCTGGCAATCAGCTCCCGTAAAGACTGTTGTTGTTGTTGTTGTTGTTGTTATGTGCCGTCGAGTCAGACCTGACTCATAGCGACCCCTTCTTGGGTTTCCGAGGCAGTATCACTACGGAAGTAGATTGCCCCATGTTCCTTCCGAGGATTAGCTGATGGGTTTGAACCGCCAGCCTCCTGGTTAGCAGTCAAGTGCCTTAGGCACTATGCTACCAGAGCTCCCCCTGTAAAGACTACAACCTAGAAAATCCTATAAGGGAGTTCTACTCTGTCACATTGGGTTGCTATGAGTCAAATATTGACTTGATGGCACCTGACAACAACAATCCTTACAGAAGCAGGTTGCCAGGTCTTTCTCCCATGGAGCCACTGGCTGGGTTTGAATCTCCAACTTTTTGGTTAGCAGCTGAGGACTTAACTGTTGGCACCACCAGGGCTCTTCCCTTTAGTGTGATAAATCCATTGCCATTGATTTGGTTCTGACTCATAGTGACCCTATAGGACAAAATAGAACAACACCATGAGGTTTCTAAGGCTGTAATCTTTCTGGGAGCAGACTACCTCATCTTTCTCCCATGGTGGGTTCAAACTGCCAACGTGTCAGTTAGCAGCTAAGGGCTTAACCACTATGCAACCAGGGCTTCTTTTAGTGTGATAACCTGTGAAATTATTAACTGTTCTCTTTTCCTCTGATTCTATGTCATATGTCCCCCTTCTGGGTTCCTCTTGTAATTGTTCCTTTGAGACATGTCCTCATGAACCCGTGACCAGCCTTGTTAACCCTCTTGCCCATCAGTTGTACTTAGTGGTGGAAGCTGTCAAGCTGGGTTTTGCCATTTTTTCCAGAGCCACCCGTCAGACCATGGAGGGACAGGCCCCAGTCGAGTATATATGACCCTTTTGCTGGGATGAAGACGCCAGGCCAGCGACAACTGATTACCCTCCAGGAGCAGGTGAAGCTGGGCATCGTCAATGTGGACGAGGCTGTGCTTCACTTCAAAGAGTGGCAGCTCAACCAGAAGAAGCGCTCGGAGTCCTTCCGCTTCCAGCAGGTAACTAGCTCTGCAGGGCATTTATTCCATGTCTGTTTCTCCACTGGACTGTCAGCCCCTTGAGGGCTGGGTCCAAGGCTGTCTTGTTTATTGCTGGTATTGAGCACCTGTGGCTGTGCCTGTGAATGTGTGTGTGTCATCATGAGTCAGTGAATGTGTGTGACCTGTAGTCTGTAACCACACAGCCCCCTGGCTAACAGGTGGATCGTTTTCCTGGTTGCCATGAAGCTAGAGATCAGGAACAAAGATTCAGCTGTCAGCTCGGATTCTCCTGCTGCCGCCCCGGTGTCTGGTTCTTTACCTTTGCTTTCCAGCTTTTCTCTTAGAACTCAAAGAGAAGTTGGAACACGTCCAACAAATGTTAAGTAAACCAAACAAGTTGCAGAGTAAACACACCCAAATTCACACACTCTCACACACAAAGTCGGTTTCTAAATGCCTGTATGTAAATACAAAGGCAAAGCTCTGGAAAGGGCCACCTGCCTATCCCAGTGGTTACTTTTCGGAGAGACTGGGATTCAAGTGCTGGGTATCAGAGGATGCTTTTGCTTATATTTAAAGTTGTTTTTCATGAGAATGTATTCATGTGCTCCATGTGTAATGAAAAACAACTAAAAGAACTCAAAAGAGTCTTCGAAATCATCTCCCTAATCCAACTCCTTCATATTAAAACAGAGGAACTTGGGTCCAGAGTGTTAAGGGTCATATCCAAAGTCACTTGACTGGTAAATGGCTGAATCAGGTCTGGGACTCTTGCTTTTTTGCTTGACCTCTCGAGTGGTACTTCCCTGACAGTGTGATTTCTAAGCTCTGTTCTCATAGGACCTGACCACAGAGTGGGGTGGAGAGGTGGGCAGCACTCATCCAGTGCTGAGTCGCAAGCTGTGTCTTAGTATTTGGTGAGCTCTGTGTGCTCAGTATGTTGGGTGCTGTGCTAAGTGTTGAATAGATTTTCATCCCTTTTACTTGTTAGAGAGTGCAGAAAACTGAGGCTCTCGTAGAAGTGAAAAGGCGGAGTCGAGAATCAAACCAACCCTTTCTCACTTCAGAGCCCTTTGGCCTTCTTAGTTCTCCCTAACGTGGGGGTCACCCACCCTGCATCCTCTTTCTCATGGTCAAGAAGGTGGATGGTTTTCTGTGTGTTGAATGCAGAACCAGGGTCCTCCACACCTGGCAGACCCTGGAGACAGCAGTCCTACTAAGTAAAGGCTCACCCTGGCCAAACAGATTTTTTTTTCCTCCTCTCTCAGTCTTGTGAGCACGTGGCATAGTAGATAGAGAAGCCAAAGGCTCTGGAGCCAGGCTTCCTGAGTTTGCATCCTGTTCTGTCATTTGCTGGCTGCTTGACCTTGGCCTCTCCGTGACTCTGTTTCTTCATCTTTGAACTGTGAAGGGAGAAGACTGGACAATGTAAACCATATACAGCTCTTTGCATGCCTGACACATAGTAAGTCCATAATAAATGTTAACTATAGTTAACTATAGGAGCTCTGGTAGCATAGTGCCGAAGGCACTTGACTGCTAACCAGAAGGCTGGCAGTTCAAACTCACCAGCCACTCCTCAGAAGGAAGGTTGGGAAATCTACTTCCATGGTGATACTACCTTGGAAACCCAAGGAGGGGTCTCTATGAGTCAGGTCCGACTCGATGGCACATAACAACAACAACAATAGTTAACTATAGTTGTAGTTGTCTTTCTATATCTGTATCCAAGAGGCTTCTTCCTTTTCTGTGCCTATAATTCTTGAGTTCAAGACAACTGGAGTTCATATTCAACGTGGCACAGCCCCTAGGAGCTAGCTGACTGGCACTGTTCCGTGCTCTGAGAGCCTCCTGACACTTCCTAAGTGTCCCCCATTCAGGGGCTGGAGAGCGTAGGGACTGTTCCTGGGGCTACCTCTCTGTCCGCTCTTCTGTCTCCTCCATACCTCATCCCACAAGGGGCCACTGCCCAGGTTCCCCTCAGCTTCTTCTCTATGTAGATAACTCTGGAGTCTGCGTCTCTAGCCCCGCCTTCCCAGCTATGAGCTGAAGCTCAGGGGCAGCAAGTCCAACAAAAAAAACCATCCTTCAAGGCTGCTTCTCTTTCCAACTCTCCATGACTGTTCACCACAGTTACCTTTCAGGGACTGAGGTTCTGACTTCAGCATCACTGTGACTCCTACCTGCCTCAGCGTCCAGTTAGGAGCGTGTCTTGCCGGGTCTTGCTCTGCAGCGTTCTTCCTCCTGCATCTACTCCTTTCTTTCCATTCCCCAGCCACAGCCCAGTGTCAGACTCTCACTTACATCTGGGCTAGTTACTACGTAGTCTGCAGGTGCTTCTCCTTGCTTGTAATGCTGTCCCCTCCAGTTTTCCGTGGTGGTAAAGTGATGGTCAGCTCACAGCTTCTGAGTGTTTCCCTGCTGCTTCCTGGACAAGGCTCACTCAGTCTCCTTAGCCTGGCAGTTGCAAACCAACAAGATCTGACCATCTATGACTCCCTCACATGAACATGAACCTTCTGCTCCATTATTCCGTGGGCATTGTCCCTAGAATGCTCAGACACTTAACTGGGAGGTTGTCATTGCTAATTTATTAAAAGAGCAACAGATCTTGACCCTTCCATATCTAGTAAAAATTTACTTTGTGATTACAATTGACAAGACTGTGGGATTACACAAAGGTACAAGACCTGTTGTCTTATCTTTGGAGAGCTTGCAGTATCTCTGAAGAGACAACACATACCCAGAGAGATGGGCAAAGCAGCATCACCCAAGTGCCAGGCGGTTGCCAAGCAGTCACTAAGAACTAGTCTGGAGGAGGCATCAGGGAGAGCGTGGGCATTATCACAGACCTGGAGCAGATTAATAGAGAGGACCTGGTGTCCTGCACGGTCAGGGGAATGAGACTATAAGAGGCAGTAATGTGCGTGGTGTGCTTGTGAGCAGGTAAGAGACCAGTTTGGCTGAGGGGCAGCATGGAAGAGGGCAGTGAGTTACAAGATGGAACTGGGAGCCAGCGGGGAAGGGAGGTACATTACTGTGCAAAAGGTGTCTTCTCTTCAGGAACAAATTATAAGATATGAATTTCCTCTGTTATCTAACCCCGTGATTGTAGTTATAGTGAAAATTTCCTTTGGCCATTGTTGTTTGTTTATATTTCACTCCCCCGCCCCAAACACACTTTTTTAAAAGAATGACCTGATTATTACTACCCCACTTTCCAGCCCAGCCACATTGTTGGTAATTTATTTACTTTTTTTTTAAGAAAGCAAAAAAAGAAAAGAAAATCAACAACAACAACAAAAATGTGTTCCTATGAAATCCTTTGTAAGCAGAAATGGTATAAAGCAAAGAGGCAATTACCATTAATTTATATAGGAAATTAAAAAAAAATTTATTGTGATTTGGGTGAAAGTTTACAGAGTAAATTCATTTTCCATACAGCAGTTCATATACATTTTGTTTTATGATATTGACTATAATTTCCCATGGTGCAACAGCTCTTCTCCCACTTCCTCCCTACAGTTACCTCCTTCCTGTGTCCTTCTTTCTCATGCATCCTCCCGCCAGCTGTCTCCCTGTGCAAACACTGCCCTTCTGTTGTCCTCCAAGGAGTGTATCTACCTGATGTAAAGGTTCACCCTATATGCCTGTCTATTCTTTGGCTGGAACCCACAGGAATGAGTTCAGTTCCAGACCTGAAGGATAATTTGGGGTCATAGTCTTAGGGGTCTCACCAAGCTCTATCAAGACCAGTAAACCTGGTCTTTTTTTTTTTTTTTTTAATGATTTTGAGTTTTGGTCCACATTGTTCTCCCACTCTATCCAAGATCTCCTGCACTGATCCCTTTCTGAATGGTTGACAGTGGTAGCCAGGTACCATCTAGTTCTTCTGGTCTCATAGTCATATAGGCTGAGAATGGTGTACCAGTCCCTTGGACTAATTGTTTCATGCATCTTTAGTTTTCTTCATTCTTCTTTGCAAGTTTTTAATATCCTAGTCACTACTCACCAAAGTAGGCTGCAGAACACTATTTTTGTGTAGTATGTTATGCCAATTGAGTTTGATGTCCCCTGTGACCATGGCTCCAAGCCCACAGGTCCAGCTACTTGTTCTCTATGGGAAAAATTTTTGAGCATGCCCAGACCCAAAGAATTACCTACCAAATCATACCAAATAACACATAAAACCTGAAATGACACCAACATATAGTGTTCATAGACAGTTCAAAGCTATGG